GGACTCGATCCCGGGACTCCAGGATCATGACCTGAGCCGAAGGCAGTCGCTTAACCAACTGAGCCACCCAGACGCCCAACAAGATGTGTTTATTACGTGTTGTAATGAGGGAAAATGCACACCAGAAGAAACATGGAAGCTTTCAGAAGGGTTAGAAAGGATTCATTACAGGCTTGGGCTTATGTTTGGTGATTGTAGGGAGGGTTTAAGGAATTGGAGCTTTGCTCTGGATAAGAGGCTGTCAGGAAACAGCAGTAATTGCACATTTTAGTAAGTCTCATGTAGAATGAGGGAAGACTGGATTGAACCTAAAGTTAAAATTGGTAAAGAAGTAGTGGCCTCTTACAATAGCCAGGATAGAGGGATGTTTAGTTAATTTTGTAGTTTAGACAGTGTTCATTATTTCTGTTAAGACATGATTATGCAGTAGTCTTATTTTTGTCTTTTTTAAAAGATTTATTTATTTATTTGAGAGAAAAAGAGAGCACTCAGGGGAGAGGGGTAAAAGGAGAGAGAGAGAGAATCTTAAGCAGACTCCACACCCAGCATGTGAGCCCGACTCGCCGCTCAATCCCACGACCCTGAGATCATGACCTGACCCCAAATCAAGAGCTAGACACTTAACTGACTGAGCCACTCTGACACCCCTGTATTTGTCTTGATCCATCATGGTCATAGAGTGACCTTGTCGGATGTTGTTCCGTGAAATGGTCTGTGTGCAGCAGGAGAACACCAAGGCTCAGATGATGATACTAGGTCAGCCCCCAAACGTCAGGGGCTGCTTTGTCTTTCTTAGAATAGCCCTCTGACCAGTGGTATTGGCACCATGTGTTTGTCTGTTGTAAATGCAGAATCTCAGGCTCAACCCCAGATCTACCGAATTGGATTCTAGAATTTAACAATATCCTAAATTTATTCATATGCATATCAACGTTTGGGAAGCATTACCTTTTAGAATTCCCCATTTTAGCTAATGATTTTAGTATGTATTGATGGTTGCTGCTTAGTTAGTCCAGTGTTAATTAGGGGTTACAAGCTAGTGGTATGCTAATTCTATCCTACCTTTTGTATTTATTAGCTGGTACTCTCCTATAAATAAGTAGCTTTCCAGATCAACTACTTAAGTACCCCCATGATATCATTTGAACAAAAAAGCAGGATAAATGATTGATTCTTTCCCTTTATTTACTAATTTTCAAAATAATGAGTTGTTTCCTTAGCATCCTCCACATATGATCAAGGAGATTTTTCTTTTTTAAAGTATTATTTCAATACATGGATTTTAAATGGTTGATATGTTTCAGTCTACTGCTGTCATTATTCTTTTTGATGTTCAGAATACTCCAACTTGACAACTGAGAGCTCCTTCAAGTTTCTCCTATATTCTTTTGTCATGACCCCAGTGGTCTTTCATAGGTTTCTTGTCTTCGGGTAGGACTAGATGTTCCAACCTTATTTTGTGTGTTTCCTGTACCCTGACTTGGAACCAGCCATTTATAAGAGGGAAATTTATTTAGAGACCAAATTTGGGCACTAGGGGTTTTCATTGCTATTGGATTGGTCATTGTTTCTAGATATTTTTATTTGTTTTGAAGGAGAAATAATATCATAAATTTATGTTAGTATTTTCAGCTCAAATTTAGGATTACAGAAATTTTACTTAACTGCCTTAAATTTTTATTTTTTCTTCTATCTACTTTTCTTCTTCCTATTACATATATAATTTCTTATTTCCTTAAAATAAACATTTTCAAAATTATAATATGCACATTATTATTTAAAAATGTGATTATTGAAAACTGCTTAAGATTTCATTGTGGTTCTTTTTAACCTTTGGATATATCTGACTAGGGATGAACAGTTAAAAATTACTGTTTTAAGAGCTCTTGAAATCATTCCTCTATGGATTTTATCTTGTGAATATACAATAATGTTCATTTGTTTCATTTTGTTTTTGACTTTGTGTTAAAATTAAAGAGCTATAGAATTCCAAAGTGAAAACCATAGAACCAAAACAAGAGACATCTGGCTTCTATTCCTGTCCCCTCTACCTTAACGTTCCAACCATTTTGGTTGGTCTTTCATTTGCCCTTCTATTTTTAATCTAAGTAAATACACAAACATACACATACTCTACTATATGTTATTATACACATGGTTCTTCACCTTACTCTTCTTTAACAGTATTTTAGAGAGTACTCCATAGCTATATGTAAAGATCTCTCTCATTCTTTTTTATAACTGCGGAGTACTCCATGGTTTATTCAACCAGCTGTCTGTTGATAGACATTTAGTTTTTTTCTTATCCTTTGCAATTATGAATGGGTGTTGTAACTAATAACACTAAAATAAATACCTTTCCACATTTTGCCAATGTTTCTTTGGTCCAGATTTATAGAAACAAGTTAAAAGGTAAATGGATTTTTCCTAGGTGTAATTTTCCTAGATGCCAAATTCTTCTCCATAAAGTTTGTGCCATTTTGCCTTCACACCAGCAACATATGACAGTACCTATTCTTCGCAGCTTTGCCAATGCAGAATTCTATCACAGTTTTGGATTTTTACTTATAGAGTAGGTGAGGATTTGTGTCTCCCTCTGGTTTGACTTAGTACTTCTCTTATTGTGAGTAAGGCTAAATCTTTCATATGTTTAAGGGACATATGCATTTTTTCCTGAAAATGAACCCTTTATAAGATGGCTTTGCTCGAGTAGGGTTATTAATTTTTATTTTGCAAGCTTTAGAAGCCTTTAATGTATTAGAGATATTAACCTTTTGTCTGCACTATAAGTTACAAATATTTTTCCAAGTTTTTTAAGTTTTATTTTGTTTATGGTATGGGGGAGGAAAAAATGTTTTAATGTATGATGTTGACTCATTTCCTGGAAGAAGATGAAATAAAAGTAGGTCTCAATTAGGAATTTGTGGTATAGACTAGAGGATCAGAGCCTCAGAATAGTGTAGAGGGACAAACTGCTCTATCTTCAGGGTCAGAGATGACCCAGTTACCAGGTCATTGCTGGAAGATCTCATGCTACACTCTCATAGCCCCAGGGAAATGTAGAAGTTCCTTGGTAGTGATGGGAAGCATGAACTCAAGATGAAATATTTTCAACCCATCAGTGATTTCAAGTTACTTAAGGTTGTTCTTTTCTGTCCATATCTGGACATTTTGCTTTTAATGGTCAGGTCCCATTTCGTGTCACAATTGCACAAATCTGCATGTTGAAAAGCATTGCATCCATTGTTTCCTGGTCCCAATGCCAAAGGCCAAGTTTGTTGCATTCTATTGAGTTAATCAGCCAGCTCCAAGCACAGTTGTATCATGTTAAAGCTTTGCTCCTTCTGTGGCTGGTGATATCTATGAGGTTATGTTTACATGACACAGGAAAAGTGATTGAAATAGAAAAATAAATCCAACTTGGTAAGATGGGTATTTATCTGCATTGTGTCAAACAATTGGGTTGACTAAACTTTTTAAAATACAGAATTGACTCACAGCCATAAAGAGAATCCTAGG